AATGGAAACAATTATCCCATATGAAATTGTGAAATCACAGCATTGTTGATTACAATTAGTAAACCAAAGACAACATAGATTCATTACAATGTAAAAATCACCAAGAAAATTTGCCTCTCTATACAAAAAGATATTAATGTGTAATATTATAAACTATAATAAATTATAATTGTGCTAATTTTAAATTTATATTCCCAGAAGTGTATCTATAGTATTCATTTATTTGTATTTGTTATTAAATTGTTCAGGCTATGGATTCTTTTAAATGATAAGCAGCTTTGTGTCTGGATAGTGTCTAGCATCATGGGGCCTCAGTCCATGAATAGAAGTACTAAGTAAAATGGTAATAAACATAGCAATATTAAAATGATATCCCTTACACGAGCTTCTGCTGAGTAGCTAATTGTTTAACAACCACTGTAAAATCTGTATGATGATTTGCTTGGCAATACAGAAATGCTGAAATAACAATGGGCCACATTCAGCCAATTCTGTAATTCCTTGAAGAAGTTCTTGCTGAATCTAGGAAACTGAATGACTGCTCCTCAGGAAGTGAAAAGATTTTAAAATGTGTTTTCTAGTGTAAGCAAAGCAGATATAGAGGCACAGTCTTTGCATCTCTACAATGGGCATTTGAAGGCCTTTTCTGGAAAATGTGCATCCTCATGCCAGTATAGTGTGTCCTGTCTCTCTGAACCAAGACTGGTACATCAGAAAACACTTTCTGTTGTGAATGCAATTTGTAGATCCTTTACTTGGATTTATGAAACAGCCATTGTTTGATGAGGGTTTATAGTTTTCATATGCAGTTTCTGTGAGGATGAATAGGAAGTGTTTTTAATTCTTAAACGTTTGTCAAAGCAACATCTAATTCACAGTAATTTTGATGGAAGTTTTTTCAATGTCATAGGTGAAATCTTGGCCCCATGGAAAACTGAGGAGCCGTGAGTCCCACCTGGCGCTATGGAGCATCTCTAGAAATGCCACAGTGACCCATACAGCCAGGTGTCTGTCTTGCTGTAGATTGTGTCAGTACCTGGAGTTGTAAAGTAAATAGCAGCTGGGAGCCTCATTCATCAGTGATTCGTTTTCATCAAAAAAAAGCAACCTGTACAAACTTTATAGGGAAAATACATTTACTTTCTTAAATGTATCTATGTTTGTTTTCATTGCCCATGTAAGGATCCATTTCTTTCCTGTACAGGACTGAGATGTTGGTTTCATTCACTGGTCAGGCAGGCCACAGGTATACTAATCTGTTGTGTGGATGAGTTATTTTACTTGTTAGTCTTCGTTACCCTTAATTGGTTTAGTGGTGGACTTGGTAATGTTAGGTTAATGGTTGGACTGGATGATCTTAAAGGTCTTTTCCAACCTAAACGATTCAATGATTCTATGATTCTATGATTTCAGTTTACTCTTTTCTGTGTTACTTGAGAAAAAGTGGAAATTGGTGGAGGCTGACTGACCTGCTTTATCCCCTTCTCTGCTTTGCTCTGTCTAATCGTCTTCAGTTTCTCTTTCTTTGCCTTCTGGGCCATTTCTGTTGAGCTGTGTATTTTTGGGCAGCCAGAGCAGAAGACAGTATTCCAGAATACAGCAAACATTCCTATTTTTGCGTTTTAATTTTTATAATGTCATTCCCATATTTTCACTTTGTATTCCAGTCTTGGACACCTTAATACTTCCTATGCTCCATTAGAAGTGAGCCAATATCTTAAACTGCTTTCCATCCCTGAAGGTTTAGGTGTAGCTTACAAATTTGCTCTGACAGACAAGTAGGCAGTTGTACCAGTGTTTCTAGTGTCTCCCTTATTTGATCCCATGCAGGTGCCTACAGCAAGAATATGACTCCAGTCTGCCTACTGCTAGTGTCATCATCTGTTTCCATGACGAAGCCTGGTCTACTCTGCTGAGAACCGTGCACAGCATTATGGACACAGCCCCGAAGGCCTCTCTCAAGGATATCATCCTAGTCGACGATCTCAGCCAGCAAGGTAGTCCCCATTTCTCTGTATGTGAGCTCTTTCTTCCAAAGCTTTGGGGAAGAAACTGTCCTCCTCCAAGAGTGTGTGAGCAGAGTAGAAGGCAAAGAGGACCCTCAGGAAGAGAACTAAGCAGAGTCCTGAGCCGGCTGCCAGGTTTCACTCTTCCATCCCTAGAATTCAGCTTAGACTTTCAACTTTGAAATACATTTCTTTTTTCCCCATCATTTCCAATCACTCTGAACTTTCTCACTTTAAAATAAGATCACAGTATGCAAATCTTAGCCTTCCCACTGGACCAGATCTGCTGTAATAATTTCCAGACTTGGACTTTGGCTGAAGCACGGAGTGGAAAACTCCATATTGCTAAAGTAATCCAAAGCACTTGGGAAAGCCAAACACCTGTAGTATCTTACTCTGATCTGTGCCCTTTGTGAGATGATGAGAGCATCCACCTTTTGCTGAAAACAGTAGAGGAGGCTATTAAGTTTCCCACAGGAATAGCTTCACACCTAGTAAATCTCAGTTTCTGTTAGTCTCTACTTCTCTTTGACATTATGCTGCTGTGGGAATATTTGGAACATGGCCCACTTGGCCGTGTAGAACAAATGCCCCCAAAACATTTTACCAGCAAGAAGTAGCATCTCCTACTACCTGTTGCTTTTCTGTGACAACTTGAATCAAAGCTAAATAATTTCAGTGACCATTGTGTTTCTGACAGGGCCCCTGAAGTCAGCTCTGAGTGAATACATCTCTAAGCTGGATGGTGTGAAACTCATCCGGAGCAACAAGAGGCTTGGAGTCATCCGAGGTCGGATGCTAGGAGCTGCACGGGCAACCGGGGACGTTCTTGTCTTCATGGATTCACACTGCGAGTGTCAGAAGGGCTGGCTGGAACCCCTCCTAGCCAGGCTGTCCAACAACCGGTAAATATCCCCGTGACCTCTGAGCTCCCTGCATATGCTAATTCTGCTGAAAGAGATGTACTTGGACAGATTTGGGTATTTTTTTAATCCTCTCTTTGTTACCTTCTTCCTTCTGGTCACATTGCTTTTATTTTCTACCCTATCACCACATGCATCACTGATATGTGGGAAGCAACCCTCATTTCGCACACAGTATCACTGAACTGTCAGAGTTTGTATACAGTTAGAGCTACAAGAAGGCTTCCTGGTGGTCTGAATTAAAAAGGTTGCAGTCTCAAGCTGTTTGGAAGTTGGCAAACATCCACCAGAGAAACTACTAAAAGACTCCATTATTTTCACTTTTTAGCTGTCTCAGTCACGAAGCCAAGGATAAAATGCTTTGTCCTCCTGAGCCAGTTTGGCTACATACCGGTGTCACCTGTACTGTCTCTGTTCCACAGAAAAAATGGACTGTCTGGGCAGCCTAGACAGTTCTAGCTAATCACAGGTACTTTCACTGACACCATACTGGCAGAGAAAGATACAGATTCATATTTTCCGAGTCTTTCATGTTTGGGTTGGTGCTTGGGCCTGCTCTCTAATGTACAGCTGAGCTCATCTATGCAATCCCCAAGTCCTTCAATGAGATTAAATCACTGAAAATATTTCAAGAATTATATGGCAGTAAATCCTTTATTAAAGGGACTTTTCTGGAAGAAAGAATTGTACATGTCTATCATTACCCATAAGCCACTTGGGAAAAAATGAATAATTACTTGAGGGGGTAAAAGAAAAAATACATCTTTAAAACTCTTACCAGACTGTTAAATAGTCATACTGAAGACCTTCAAAGGCTGTTCCCAGGCACTGGAAGAAGCTGCTTGTTTGGCTAATTATGTTTGCTTATAAGAGAATTAATTAGAGTTTTTAGAAATGATTACATCATTCAGATGCAAACATTAAAAATAGTGCAAGCAAGAGTAATGCTGCCCTAGGATGTCAGGACTATTCTTTTCTAAAAGATCCTGCTTAGAAAAGCAGATTTTTTTTTGTCTGCTGACTTATTAGATGGTTTATTATGAATATACTTCATGATTCTCTGCCTTGAGCTATAGTCTGTTGTTGATGTTCATGCAAACCTCCTGTCCATATCAATTGGCCAGTCCTTATTCAAGGTTGTATTGCTGAAATTGAGAGTTAAAAAAGTCTCAGAGGAGAGCTATAGTGAAGGGGGAATTACAATGGCAAGAGAGAAGTTAGGACCCCACCATAACTGTAGTGATTCACTGTCAAAAATTATCCCTGCTAAGGGAATGCAAAGCTACCAAGCCTACTATAGCTCTGAGATTTATGTAGCACTGTCATTGGGGGGTGAGAAAGGGATTCTTTTCCCATGTAGGGCTCATGCGCTCATTCATTCCTCCAGGAGAGCAGAATTTAACCCGGAGTTAGCTAATGGCTAATTGGATCCATGGAGGAAAGGTAGGAGGATGTTTGGATGATAGTATGGTCTAAACCATCCCTTTCTGTATGCTCTGTCAGTCACTGTGTCTGACCCTGGAAGCTTTGTCACTGCTAGTGTGGAGAACCTGTGCCATTCTCCAGTGCACAGGGAAGACATGCGCTAAGGCATCTGGCAATCACTATCCCTTGCTGTCCTTCTTTCCCCAGCTGAAGAATGGTGATAATAACACTGACCTGATAAGGAAGTTAATTCATGATTTTTCCCAAATTGCTTGTAATGCTTGCATGGAGATCACTATGGAAATGTAAAGCATTAGCATAGTCAACTTGGCTTCATTTAGCAGTTGAGGACCTGTTAAATTGAATCATGTGCACTCCCTGAGACTACCCAAATGAGGAAAGTACAATGAAAAAAAGCTTACAGTGACTGGTGAGATATCCATCATTCCTCTTCTTAATGCACTAATCAAGCTGCAACTCATGCACTTTTGCTGGAGAGACAGGATGGGAAAACACTTAATCACCTAGAGTGAGTGAGTGAGTTGTTTGCTGGCAGGGAAAAATGCAGCCTTTCCAAAGCTCAAACCTTTGCAGGAGCTTAGTGGAAGCGGAGGGAAATTTTAATTTTGAAAATTGTGATTAAGCCTAATTTTCTAGACTCCTGCTCAGATCTACTACTATTATTGTGACCTTAGAGTGATGCCGAGAGATCCTTGCCCAAACTGAGACCTTGCTGTGAGTTGAACATAACTCACAAAAAGGGAGATACCCCCAGTTCTGAGTAGCCATGGTAATGAGAGACAGGATAAACACGAGAAAAATTAACCCAGTTTTACAGGTATGGAAATATTTGACATTTATTTGACTTGCTCTGGGTGATGACATTTCCTCTCCCTATGTGATGGTTTTATTCACTAACCAAATCAAAATTATTTTCCCAAAAAGTCTTGAGTCTTTCTAAAATCATTACACATGCATTTATGGGCACCTTGACTGGGACTAGTTCTGTGAACCATACCTAACAAATTGACTGGGAAGCTGTGCATCAGCTTCATGTATCACCTAGAGAATGGTTCAGCGCTCTGTAAAGCATCCCTTGACATTTTGATTATTCAAGGATGAATACCATAGGCACCTGGACAACATTAGAAAACCAGATGAGATGCCCCACAGATCATTTCCTTTGACAACTGTTTGTGTTCCAGGATAATTCCAGGTGAGTAGCATGGTGCATAGTAATGCAGCTGTGCAATTATTACAGTTGTCTTTTGAGGGCTTTGCCTTTTCCAGGAGACTGCAGGAGACAGCTGCTATTTTGTATTCGGTCCAAAGGCAGTGAAAGGCAGAGGGGGCATATAGTGAGCTGTGCCATGAAACCTTGAAAAGGTTGTTCCTTTAATGTAAAAACAGTGACCATCATGCTGAAGCAGAATGATTTTTTAAAAAAAGATCCAAAGTGTGGTTCCTGAGAATACTGCATAAAAGCAAAATGAGCCTTGATGAGGAATTCCACTTCTCAAAAAGGCACAGGCACATAACTGTGGCAGAGGGGTGGCTTGCAAAGGGGCAGCTTGCCCTTAGGACCTTTCCCCTGCTCCTCGTTGAAAGGGCTGTTTCCCTCTGTGCTGGTGTACTGCCTATACCACAGCTCAAATATTACATTAGGAAACAGAAGCTTGTGATATTAAACCACGACAGAAGCCTATCTAATTTCTAATTCAAAGTGCCTCTACTTAGCACCATAATTCTAGGTCACTAATCTTTAATGAAAATGCTGTTTAACAGAATAAGAAATGAACGTAGCAGTGGAGAGGTATCTCATCCACTGTTTGCTCCCATTCAGGAGTGAACGGGAGCCTCTGCTTGTAGATACAGGAATAGAAACAGAGTTCTGCTGTCCAGAAAATTTCTGTGTGGTTCTAGTTTTGTGGTAATACACTAGAAAGAAGGGAAATATTAGAAAGAAGGGAAATATTTGGCACTGAAGTTGAACAGCTCCTTCATCTCTTTTCATCTGATTCTCCACTTCTCGGTGGCCCATACCCCACCTAGCTTTTCGAGGTACCAAATACGTAAGCCATCTGTTTTCTACCTTCTCACAGGCTCAGGGAAGCATGACATTATCCTTCCAGACTCCACACAACCCCAGCATCTGAGCATGCATTTCCATGCTGCTCTCCTTGTTTTGAAAACCTTCCATATACTTCACGTATAACAGCCGGCTTCCTGGGACTTCTCTTTTTGCCTGATCCTTTTATATCCTCCATTTGTCAATAATGCTCATTTCAGATTCAGTAAATTAATATTCTGCATTTACATGGTATGTGAAGATATGCCATCTGTTTACAATTTTTCACAGTTGATCAGGATCAGTAGGTGACCTATTTTAAAGAAGTTGAGGTAAAGAAACTGAAGACAAGAATCTAAAGCCAAAAGCAAATATTACTGCCAAAAGTAGGAGCAATGAGGATTTAGGCATGATTCATGGCACAGTGCCCTAACTGTCCAGTATGAAAAGGTATTGGTTGCTCCTACAGATTTTGGTACCCCACATACAAATTTGAGTATTTTAAGAAAAAAGACAGGTTAAAATTTTTTTTTTTAAATAAAGCATTCTCTTAGCACTCTACCTAGCAGAGATTTGACGTATACGTTTAGTGCTTAGCATATGAGTAGTCCATCAATTCAAGGAGACTGTTCATATGCCCTGATAGTCTGCAGCTGATCTGTAAGGCAGTATTTAAGTAATCCTTTATGCCATAGCTTTACCATTCCTGATCACTGCATATCTTTATGTTTTTATTAGCCCTGTCTAATTTCAAATGCTTTGCATTAGTATTTCCCTGAAGACTTTAGCCTGCCAGCAAGGTGCTTTCAGTGAAAATGCAGCGTGCTGTGGAAGCAGCTTGGGTTCTGACTTACTGAAGTTTTGACTATGTGCAGAGCCAGAGAACTTGGACTGCCTGGATTTCCTAGCCACCTAATTTTTGTAGAGAATGATCCACTCTGAGGCTGGTTGAGGAAAATACATAATTTTCATTTTTTATTTTTTTTGTTCCTCCTTATTTAAGGGGGGATTTAAACAGATTAAAATCTGTTTCCTTCCCAGCAAAAGAAATCAATAAAAAGCACTTTCAAAAAACAGTGTATCTAAAACTTCAAAACAGATGTGTTAATTAAATCTTCCTCTCCTCATGTTACTTATTCTAAAAATAGAAAAGAACATAATGTCCATGGTGACTGTAAAGGGTCATGGGAAGACATTTCATTTGCAATTGTATTTGGTTGAGAAATCCCAAATGAGGAAATTGTTCTTGTTTGGGTTGCTCTTTTTCATGGAATCGTGACCTTTTGTAGTTCATGTGCGTTCCAAGCATTTGAGATATTCACAAATTAGTCAAACGGTTCAAAGCCTTGCTGCTAGTTGTATTTGAATTTCCTGTTTTTTTCCTTTCCTTGGATTCCACAGAGTAAAATTAGCAGTAGTTTGCCAGTGTGTGTTTCATTTCAAAGTGCCGAGAAGCCTCTGACTGTCTGCCAGTTATCCAGTTAAAAACAAAAAGAATAGCTAAGAACATCTTCCAACTTTCAGTTACCTTCTGCTGCAAATTTGCATTTAGAACCACACAAACATCAAACCATCACTGAATATGCAGAAAACAGATCTTTTATAAAAAAAGCATTAATACCAAAAGATGGGTAAAGCACTGCTTGGTTAAGATTAAAATTGGACATTGACCAGTTTTCACACAAGATAAAAGTTACTGGATTCCTCTATTTGAGATCAGAAAGACACTCCCAATACTTAAAGTTTTAAGAAGGTGTGTTTCTGTTGGTTTTGGCAGAGCTACACCGGTTTATGCTAGGTGAAGATCTAGTGTTACACTTACAAATGTACTCT